ACAATATTGTGCAAAACGAACAAAAAAGTTAAATGTACTGTGGTATGAGATGCTTAAAACATAACCTAGCGAGCTGTAGGCTATAATCCAGATGGATGACAGCTGTGGTGCATATTGCAACCCGTTTCAGAAAGATAGGAACACCAAATCTGATCGTTTCTAAATGGCGGATAAATCCATCATCTTCTTCTCGCCCTGTCCTTACTCAGAAACCATAGTCTGGTCATTGTATCTAAGTCCAAGAACAACTTTAAAAGCAATAAAGAATATCCAATACACCGACCTTTTAACGGTCGTTCCTCTGTTCGTCTACAGTTATGCAGCATACTAGGCGTACTGTTGTCAAACGATGGCTAAATTAATCCAAAAAGTTGCAGTGATGATATGAAAAATGAACAAACAACCTATTCTTTGCAGTACTTTTTCAAAGTAGCACCATCATGTGCATTTTTGAGCTGACACTTGTTGAACCACAGTGTAAACAGAGGATTTTATTAATAGAGTAGGTCTACTTTATACAAAAAATATGCAAGAATATTTTCCATAGACATGTAATTGTGCATGTATGAATCTAAAACAGCCCTGTGCTGGAATTCAGAGCGCCGGAGAACTTAAAGCCCTGAAATTGACAACATGCAAAAAGAACTATTAGACTTACTGGACAGTGAAAACACAACCAGACGAACTAATAAACAAAAGATCCACAAGTCCTAAAATCTGCCATCACAATATTATCATATATGTATTATTAACACGATATCAATATTTCATTTTTGAACTTCACGGTTATCGTCAATATCGGTACACAACAACAGCCCTAATGCATGTGCACCAAATGAAACCCGACAATGATCTAGTCTCTCCGTCGAGGTTTTTTTTTCCACTCTGGACTAATGCAAGATGGACAGCAAAGGACTGACATCGACTATTGATTAAACACGTTGAATTCCACTTCAGTGTTGATGAGTTTTCACCCCTGTAGACATGTACACTCAGTATCTAAAAAACCGTTTGACTCCAAAATCCAGCACACAGGTGTTATTCTCATCTTCATAGTTGATGATGAAAGCAGGTGGTGTCAGGTGGCAGGAGAAGGCAGAGTGTGCCTGGCAGCCCTGCGGCATCTCCCGTGTGCTCTGTGCACCTGGTGACAGCACAGTCATGGGGTTCAATGATGCGGTTTTGTTAAAAGAAATTAAAAAAAAAAAAAAGAAAACAAATGAAATCGTAGTTGGCAAAAATATTCACAGTATTAGACGATTTAGTTAGAAATCTGTCTTTCTAGAAAGAAATGTTATGATTATTTCATAGTTTTCATTGTCACTGAGGTTGAGACGAACCACAACTACAACGGAGTGTGAGCATCATAAGGCCCAAACCTCTCCTCTGCACTCTGGGGGCTGAGATGAGACAGTCACAGGCGCTCAATAATTTAATAATGAATCATAGATGTTAATGGTTAAGATTTAAGTTGGCCACTATCTTTTCAGACAGAGGTGTGTATATGTTTATCACATTCTGAATATAATGTATGATGTAATATGACATTCCTTTAATGTGATGTTAGGAGTTTCCACAAAGGTGCGCACATTCTCCCGTCAAGTTTGTTTTTATAAATCTCAACCTCTAGAGGGAAGTGGCATCCGCATGTTTCAAGTGCCACTTTCTGTGAACATAATGGCTATACATGACCAGCTCTCTGTGAAATTTAGAAATTCATACTCACTGTATGAATCAAACGCGCTGTATTTGGTCACCTGGCAACTTTCCCTCTTAGTACCACCATCCAATAATGCTACAAAACAATGCTATAATCTAACCTGCAGATTGCCATGAAAATTTACAATGAATTTTACCGAGCAGTGTTTCTGATGGACACTTGGTATGGTTTCTCTTGTGCCATCCACAGGACAAAAAAAATTAACCCTGCTACTGGTAAAACTCTAGGATAATCATCATATTACACATCAATATAATATGTACACTAATGAACAGGTGAAGGTTTGAGATTTGGGACGTAATGAACATTGCAGCCTTTAGGGGTTGACAGCTTCTGCTGCCAAAGCTTTTCACAGTGCAGTTTCTTCAGAGTTTAGTTTTTTGTCTATTTAGCAGACACACTCATGTTTTTTGTGACTATAATAAGGATTCCCGATTTTAGTTTTTTTGGCCCTGACCTTAATCAGAGTCTTTAAAAATACAGGGTATCTGCCAGCTGAATAGTTGTACCAGCATCTGGTTCAAGAGTAGCCTAGCCGGTTCCACCAAAATCCTACACAAGAGGTGAGAGTATCGGATCAGCGAACAGAAACAAGTCACGCTGCTGTGCCTCTCTCAGGTCTGTGTTTGCAAAGAGACGTCACCCCTCTCTGTTTCCATCAGTTAGTTCTGTAGTTGGGTCATTTTGAGACAAGACTGGTTTTATCAAAGTTTATGGCCGATCATGATGTTATCCTGATCTGCTCTGAGTACAATAATGCAGCTAAAGAAGAAAAATTTAGTATTTCATCAGCAAAATGAGAGTCAACCTGGAGATTTCTAAACTGACAATTCGAATCATAAACATTTAGTGGGCGGTCCTAAAGTTTTTTATCTTCACTACATTCAAATTTCTCTAGGGAGATACGGACATGACATCAGGTGGGTGGTATCTGTCACATGACCAGTGATGGCTATTTCACTTCAACAATGTACTTCACCTACATGAGCCCAAATCGCTGCTTGACATTCAACCGAGCCTCTTCTCCTGCCGTGCGTCCTGTCTGAATGATTGAACACACGAACTGAATGCTGAATGAAACGCAGACATACACACTGTACACTGAGTGACCAGGAAATTAGAAACACCTGTACAACGTAATGCAAAGCAGGAGTCCTGCAGTTAGTAGTACCTTAACTCAAACTGAAATCTACTTGAAATATGATGATTATTGGTATGGTAAATTATTTCATCTGCATGGTGGAATGTTAATAACATTTCCTGTGCAAGGACTTGCTGTTAATGTGCTGCTACTCTGAGTAGCCAGTAGCTATCTGTCTTGACAATGCACATGAAGTTTGTTCAAACTAAGGCCATATTATAGGAAGTGATGCTTCCCACTTGCATGTAATTTCAAGCATTGAAATCAGGAATAAAGTCTCTTTAGCTGACGCACATCTCAACCTTTCTGACACTGTTCCAAATAAACTGCAGGGTTTCACACAACCATGTGCACTGGTTAGAGAAGACGAAGCATTTGTCAGCACGACACAGCAACAAAGTGAAGCATATCGCTCAAAGATGAGGATGACAATTGGTTCAGAAGCCTAGATCTATGCATGTGTGCAGAGATGAATGGATGGATGGATCTATGTGCATATCTTTTCACTTCTGCCTCATGGTGTTTGGCCAATATTGCTGAAATGAACAGCTATTTTCATTGTCTGTTAATCTGTTTATTAGTTTAACAATTCATCTAGGGATGCAACTAACAATTATTTTCATTATCAGTTCGTCGATTAGTTTCTTGATTAATTCTTTTGGCTATAAACAGCCATTATCTGTCAGAGCCCATGGTAAAATTTTTAAATTGCACACATTTGAGCAGCTGGCACTGACAAATGTTTAGTATTTTTGCTTGAAAAAATGCCTAAAATGACTGATCCAGTAGTTTCAAACACAGAACAACAGTGAATCACAATGAAGAGTGCTTTCACTGTACTTTACAGACAAATATTTGAAAATATTAGCAAATAAAACTAAAACTATCTGATACAGCCAGATACCACTGAGGGAAATGTGTGTTTTTTTTTGCATTTTGGTTGAACTAACCCTTTAAGGCCATCTGTTTTATCTATGCATCTACATACCACACAAGACAAAGTTGTGAGTGCAAACGGAAGTGGCTGCAAAGCTCAATGCCCCACACCTCTCTCTGCTGAAAGTCCAGATACTCCCAGCACTGCTGAGGAGATACCACCACAACGCTGCTCGAGCGACCTCTGCCGAACAAGACTGGATCATAGCTCTCGGGAAAAAAAAGAGAAACAAAGACTGAAGCCCTGATACATTTGCACAACTCTGTGCTATTGCAGCCGAGCGATCAGTTAAATCAATCCATCTATACTGATGAAACCCAGCAAAACAATGCAACTGGTTACAGCCAGCCCTGCTCTGGTTTACACCGACTGAAAGCCATGACAGTATAACTGCAGAAAGCTAACAAAGACAAGCCTGCACCAGGAAAATCATTACACATAAAAGTTCAACGTGAAAATATGATCACGCCAAGGCATGAGAGCCGGTGTAAGAACTGGCGCCATATGTTTACAGTGGGAGGTTGTAGGCAGCACTGCCAATGTTGCCTTCATTTGACTGCATCATTTATCAGGGAGCTAACAGACTGCACAGCACAGAGGAGCTAACATTGTCAGCCGATCATTCAGTCCTACTGTCCCAAATTACACAGAGACTGGCCTCTGTAGTTTAAAGAAGATGATAATCTCAAATATGTGTTTTTGTGTCGATTTAAGAAAGTGTGCACAGTCTGCTAACTAGCACGGCTGCTAGCAGCTAGCTAAAGAGCAGTGTGCATATTAGCCATCAGTGAGCCGGTGACAGACAGCACAGCTAAAACCACGAATAATGTCGGCCAAAAACGCATGCACATCTATATGAGGTTTATTTTGAACCGCTAAAGCTGGACAGAAGCAGGACAGTGACATGAGCCTGGACCATGTATTACTAAACCCCAAAGAAGAGCCCCCAACGCGCCCGCACGGATCATTCATGTTCCGGGGCGCAGCATCTTCCTGCACATTCAGTTGCCCTCCGGTCCAACACAAAAGCAAGAGACTCCAGGCTGGCCGCGGGAAATTCACGACAAACCAGCACCTCGACACCGACATTTCGCCCGTTTACAAGGGGGGTTCTGGCTGCCGGACCGGAACACATTTTCTAAGGCGCGGAAAACACTGTGAAAGTAAAACAAGCTTGGCATAGATAAGGCTCACACACTCACCTCGGTCCCTACCGAAGCCATGGTGCCTGGACGTAAACCCCGCCCACCCGCGATTACGTCACATTTATTGATTTGCAGACGGTGTAATACCACACCTGGGAGTCAATAATACTGTCAGTAATAATAATAATAATAATATAGTAATCCTTAAATAGTAAAAGCACAGAGTCGCCATTTGTAGATTTAAAGGTCAGGTGAAGATTACCGCTCTGTGCAGGCCAGTCAAATTCTTCATGGACCTGAATGACTTTGTGCACTTCATACTGAAACTGGAGAGGTTTTCCCTCAGAATCATTTCACGAAATAGGAACCATACTATTTTACAAAATATCATTGCAATGGAGCTAAGGTGTCCAAATCATGAAAAATAGACCCAGACCAAATTAAGACAGATCAATTTCACCACTGATGCACTGAAAAAGACGCCTGACTACACTCAGAAACTTGTATCTGATCTGCCCATTGTAGTCCACTGAAAAGCTTTTGATTTCACCAAAAAGGTACTAAAGACAGACAGTATCATTATCAAGTACACTGAAACTTTTAAAAAAAATGTTTGGTTGGTAACACTGCACACCAAACACTTTCTGATTACAGAACTAAAACTGCATGGACAATGGTCTCTTGCAACTTTACCTCACCTTGCACATACAGGTATCTACCAACTACTGAGGCAGTGGAGGCCATAACCAGGTAATAGAGCCAACCTCAGACCAGTTGCCCTGCTTAACCTCTGACTATAAACACCACCTATATATACAATAAATGAAGGGGTTTTCAAGACAGAAGCTGTGCCATGTGCTCACCAGCATTGCTCATTGTGACTAACCTAGGAAGCAGAGAGAAGAGGCCCGAGCTTCTTACAGGCAGCAGCACCAAGCCACTGGATCTGATATATGCATGACAACTGGGTGGACATAAAAATCCTTCACAGCACAAAGAAGGATGTCAGGCCCGGCCTCCTTTGACCGAGTGGTGCACATCAGAGAAGAAGCCTTGATGTGAAAGTGTCTCTCACCTCCCACTCTAACACAAGCTGGTGGTTTTCAGAAAAATCTGCCAACCAGCCTGAGAATGTGTGAGAAGCCTTAAAAGCTTGTGGTCTCAAAGACTGGGCCTTTGTCAAAACAGCCACAGGATCTGTGAAGAACAGCTCAACAGCAGATAGAGAAGAAAAGTAGAATAAATGCGACAACATAGTCGTTCTACATGTGGCTAAAGTACCTGAGAAACCCGGAGGATCTTCAACAATCATGCATGAGTTTTCTATGTACCATATTCACAGGCTGTTTTGAAAGGCAGTTACAGTATGATATGTGGCAGTTATTTTATGTATAGCTGCAACAGGTGCTGAAGCAACTAGCTTGTTGTTATTGACGATAAGTGGTAGAAGTAGATTTACTCAAGTACCAGACAGAAGTACTTGTATTTTTATTTTTTTACTTTCTAATTTTACTTATTTCACTTCAGACTTCAGAGTTACATTTATCTGCCATAGTTTAGTTAGTTATAGTTTGTTCACAAATTAAGATTTGCGTATTGAACATATCATTAGCTTGTGGAATATGATGTAATAGATGTGTGTAATAGATCAAACAACCCAACAGGGTCTAAATAATTATAAATTAGGCCCAAGTTGATCAGCTGCCATTAAAAGGCTCCATACATGTTAATGAATGAGTAAAAATAATCCAGTCGCATAATACATGAACATTAATACACTCTAAAAGGCTATTATCTGATAATTACTGCTTTTACTGTTGTTGTCATTGCTTCTTTTACTTAAGTGTGTGAATAGACAGAACTCAAAATGTCAAGCCTAACATACCCCTGGAAACAAGTTAAATTAATTGATAAAATAAAAACAAAATAAAGAAAATATAAAAACAAGCTGTTCCCATAATGTGTAATAAGTGACAAGTAATAACAATTACTTTGCCCTGAGGTCAGTTGACTTGTCGGCTGCTTTTCACTGTGATAACAAGCAACATTGACAAGTCACTGATGGAAAACCAATGAACAACGTCAGGAACATTATTATCAGGTCTAGATTGGCCATTAGACTGGATGCCTCATTAAACCTGCTGCGCCTGGTAATTACAGTCACTCCCTATGAGCTTCCTTTGTTTGGTTAAGACTTTGGATCAGTTTTTCCCTCCCTGAATAACAAAGACAATTTTGGTTTAGAAATTATTGTCCAGATTCAATGCACTGGCAGACTCTTTCCATTCATCAATGCAAGATTTTTAATACACACAAATGTATATCTTTATTGACAACCTGAAGTGACACATTAGGTTTGACAAACAGAAAAGAATGAAATACAGAATGAAGTCATCATCATAGTTATTTAAAACGGACTTTATTGACAGTATTTTCAGCCACAGTACTGATAATTCAAAGAAAATCTGAAAAAAAAAAAAAGTATTTCCATCTTATGTTACTTTGTACTACTGCTACACTAAAGTTCAGAGAGAAATGTACTTGTACTTAATATTCCACTGCATTTAACAGCTTTTGTCACTGATTGTTTGTCAGATTTTACATTTAAAAAAAAAAAGATTTGGTAAGTTTATAGAATACAAAGATTGGTTACCATTGGTTACAACCATTTTGGTTTGTGACTTGACAAAAGAGCAGTGTCTAGATTTTTTTATTGAAATAACAAGAATTTTTTTCTCCAATATTATACTAAAGCAGAAAAAGAAGAGAGACAAAAGAGAGAGAGAGAGAACAGAAAAAAAACTGGACACAAATTTATGTAGCAGAATTTTGGTTTCAATTCTTTCTGCCCCATTAGACTTTTCATGACCTTTTCATCTTCATTGTCTGATTAGACCGTGTCTTTGGACCGAGTGGGTGTGTACAGACTGTTTGACACATCCCTCACTCTTACAGCTGTTGAGGTGGGACAATACACACTTTTATCAGTCTTATTTGTACATTAAGTTGGTTAATGTAATATATCATAATATATCAGTCACAGGAGCCATTTTACTGCATAATGAGTACTTTTTAAATTTGATGCTATAAATATATTTTGCTATAATTAGTTATGTACATTTAGCCAGACTTTTAAATGCAGGACTTTTACTTGTAATTGAGTACTTTTACATTACAATCTGAGCACTTCTTCCCCCACTGCAAAAACACAAGAAAGAACTATAAATTAAAATTTATGATAATCAATGGGAAGACACTTGTATTGGGACACAGAACTTTTGCTTCCTACTTGTTTGATTATGAGAAGTAAATCTACCAAGTATTATTCATTTACATCATAAAGAGTTGGAGAAATCTATGCTAACTTCACCCATTTGTTTCTGGACATGTGAAATGTTACAATCAAAGTGCGTTGGTGTTAAACGAGAAAATCTCTATGGGTCCAGAAAGTATTTCATTTGTTTCATTAGGTTTAATGCCTCCTGCAGTAATAGAGAATTAGGATGAATATTATGACTGGAAGTTCATTATTGACCATATCATATAATCATCCTCAGCAGATGGAGTTTCCAAGTTGTCATGAAAATGTGGATGTTCATATTTCCTCTGAGCACTTTAAGGACTTCTTGGCTTAAAAGCTGAGATTGAAATAAACTGACTGACTGAAACACTTGAACAGAAAAGACCTACTGTTGTCACACTGTTAACATCTAGGCTATGTTTCTACTATTATGACATTTCAAAATGTCTGCTGTCAATACTTAATCGGCTTCTCTCCATTAGGAACACACTTTTTTCTTTCACTTAAATGTTATTACAGTGATTTTCATCTTTATTATTAGAGATCAAGCTATTATATCCATGACTATATAAAAAATATAAAATATATGATGATTTGTGGATTATGACCCCAGCAACAATTTGATTAAAGTTACAAACTGATAACAAAGTGTTAAAATTCAAAATGATTATTATATAATTCTGTAAAACATAATTTATGATGAAAACTGACTGACTGAGGTCAGCCTGGTTTAACTGTAATTTGCTCTATGAAGCACCGTACTATATTGTTGTGTCTGTATTACACCAGCAGGTGTCCTCATTTGCTCAGTCTACCCTCCATAACAATTTTACTCTCCAGCTGTTTAGATTCTTCTCGTCATCTGGATTTATGACTGATATGTGTTTAATTTCCTCTTTTTGTGCAGTTCATGCCATCATGACCAAAATTAACTGTTTACTGTTTAACTGTTATTTCAACACCATATTGAGGTCCTCTGTCTCAGTGATGTCAGTATATCCCTCTTCACATAAACCAACAGACAGTTTAAACTTACACATGCAGTATGCAGCCAGTAAAACTCAAGAAATAATACCAATGCACATGGACAATTTGAAAAGTGAGGGAAGAATAACACTGGCTCGTGTCCATGTAAGTCAAATGAGTCTCTGAAGAATGTTTGTATAGCATCCAATAGGCAGTTGATATTTTATTTTGAAGTAACTGTATTCAGGGGAAATAAAGAAAAAAAAGGAAACAAATGTGAGTAGCTATAACTAACATCTGAATGGATAATAAGAGAGACTGGTTTAACTGAAAAAATATGGCAGTATACAGAATACTAGTAACAAAAACATGGCAAGCTTTGAATCGTGAAAAAAATAGAAGTTTCGATTTATATCTCTTCTATCTGGTTCATGCATTCATCTGAACCAGGTTACCACTGCAACGGTTTGCTGGATCACCCAAACAGACAATAAAAGGGCTCCAGCTCATTCGCAACCCAGCGGCCAGAGCCCTCACTCATGCTAAGCCCAACATTGCATGTCAAGCATTTTTGACTTTATTGGATAGCCGAGAGCTGACAGGAAATGAGGGCAGAATGATGAGGGACTTGATCCAGGCACACTGATCTTACACGATCAGAATCCTTAACCCCACCACCGCCAGGACATCCCAACCTCAAAATTTCTCCTTTAATGGTTTGGCTTGCCCGGAGGGAAATATTGTACTTAGCAGCTATAGTTACAAGTTCCCAGAAGATAAATATATTACATACAAAAATATAGTCAGCTTATACATGATGATGTATAGTTAAAGTGCACAAAAGTATAAAGCCTATAAAGTAGTTATAATTAGCTCCACGTTGACCAGCTACAACATCATGATGCTGCTAAGTGTCCTTTTACTTAAGTAACATTTTTGGTTTGGGACTTACTTGTGATGGAGGTTTTTTTTATGGTGTGGCAGGCTTATTACTTCTTTTACATAAGGATATGGATAGGAGATTAGACTCACTTTCCATGATCAAACCTACTGAGGGTGATTTTAGAGTCTTGTTCACTGGGACAAACAAAACCTGAGGTTTGTCACATCTGCTTCCAAATGATGCCTAGCATACACTAGACGCCTTTGAGAAGACTTTTAAAAGAATAGTCTGACACCCTCTCCCATCTAAAGACAATATGTCATAAATCAGTAGATTTTTAATCTCACATACGATCTTGTACAGACTAGGGATCTTCAAGGTCACTATTTGCAAGATTCATGTTAGATTATTTCCCATCATGCTCCTGGTGGAAATTTACTGGAAGAAAAAAATATTTTTTATTCAGACTTTTTTGCCCTATTCTACATTATTTTTTGCAAAACAAAGCAACCTTTCTATTTTCTCAAGCTTATGGTTGGTGTTTTTCTGTGTGTCTGTAGTTTAGTGGGTTTGTCTTTAAGTGCCATGCATTTTAATGTAAAGCACAATGAGCTGAATTTGTAATTAAATGTATTTTATAAATAAAATGACGTCGCCTTTACCAGTAGTAAATGGTACACCTAATTAGAAGGTAATACTAAGCACCAGAAGGGGGCGCAAGTGCAACACATCAGATGTGAAGCGCCTGGATTCAGAAGACGAAGAAGCCTCGTGCACGGTCGGTAGGTCAGTTTGGTATCCGGTGGTAGCTTTGGATTAGTTGTCCGGGAAACCCGCCATGTACAAGTACTTGATTTAAAATACTTTGCTGAGGAAAGACGCCTGAATCTTTAGTTTCATGTCTGAACCCGGCTCGTTTAGCATAGCGAGACTGATGAGTAGCTAGCAGGCCGCGAGAATTAAGAGAACTAACGAGCACATAACGTTAGCCTCGGTGACTCTTACAGTCAGACCACCGTTTGCTAAACGTCCGACATGACCCAACAAGCTGCTGCTCTACAGACCTACAACAACGAACTTGTCAAATGTAAGTGGCTTGTTTATTTATTTTTTGTTGAAGTTAATTTGACGGACTAGTAGTGAAAATAGTGGGGAGATGGTTATTGCCTGGAGGTGACGGTTTTGGCGGCGGGGTGAGCAAAACTCAGTATCCTGAATACTTTAGGCTTAAACCACAAAACACTACGTCGACTAAACTGGATAATTTCCTCCAATATGTTTCGTATGCAAAGTTAACGTCTGCTCCAGACAAACTCACTTTCTGGTACTTTCTAAACAGATAATGAGTCTTACTTCTTTGTTCTGCTTGTTCTGGTTTTTGACCTACCTGCTACTGCTGTGGCCAGCAAGCAGGATAGTACTGTGCAATCTGATTAACCCACCCAGATTATACAGTCTATCACCTGTAAATCAGCCTTTAACTCACACAGTGCAGCTATCATTATTAAATACCTGCAGTAGCTTTTATCTCTGTGAAACCCAAAACTAGCAACAGATGCCCAGCCAAAGTGTTATTGTTTTCTGAGAATGATACACATTAAAACTATTAACACTTGTCACCTGTCAGCTGCTGGTTAATTTGTTTCTAGTCTACCAGCTCCTATAGCAGGTTACCAGACCCCAATTGAAGATTCAATTCAGTTATGGGATTGGTTGAAACAAAACTGAGACACACAGCAGTTCTGTGTTCAAACAAATCCTGACATTTGAAAAGTTGTAACTAGACAGCATTTGTCATTTTTGCTTGATAAGTAACTTAAAACAGCCAATTATCCAGATTGTTCTTGATTAACTGTCTGTTTTAGACCAATTGAGACATGAGACTTATTGAAAAAATGATTTTACCTGTCATATAATTTTGAAATGTGCATCAATACTGCAATTTTCAGTTTTTTTTCTCCTGTAACACCCTTGTCATCACTCAGTGAGGCTCTGAGGTAACAAACCCTTTTTATCTCTGTCAGGTATCGAGGACCTGTGCTCCAAGCGGGATGAGCTGAACAGTCAGATCAAGCAGGAGGAAGACGAGAAGGAGCGACTGCAGCATGACATCCGTGTCCTCTCGGAGAAGCTGAGCAGAGTCAACGAAAGCCTGGCACAAAGACTCGCTGCCCGCGCCACCTTCGACCGCACCATCGCTGAGACTGAGGCTGCGTACACCAAGGTGTGTGACTTGAATATTATTATCAGCAATATTCTTGGACCAAAAAATGGTTTAAACATGAGCGAAGGAGTAAAATGGAGTATAATATCAGTATTTGTGTTCAGGTTACCTGGTCAGTTGATCGCAGGTAATTCTGTTACATAGCTGAAAATATGGCAGCTATTCTGGTTGATTAATCGTTTGTCATTGTAAATTGAATATTTTTGAATTTTTGACTGGGACATGACATTGGACTCTGAGAAACCTGAATGGACTTTTTCACTATTGTCTGACATTTATAGAGTAACCGATTCATCGAGAAAATAATCGACAGATGAGTTGATAATGATAATCGTGAGTTACGACCCTGGTGGGCAGAGCAGAATGCTGGCATCTCCAGCAATACGTTGGTTAGCTTAGCATATTAGTAAGCTCAGCTAGGCTAAGTTAGCTTAGCTGTAGTAGGCAGATTGTTTAGCCATGTGGGAAAGTTGAGAGTGTGTCCTGGGCTCAACTCAATGAAGCACCAGTTATTGAGATGATTCTCTGTAGACATTGCTGCACTCTTACACTCACATAACTACATTTTCACACCCTCTTCTTTTTTCTTTGATGTGACAGGTAGCGGGATTTGATGGAGACTGTTTTCATACCAAAGAGGTTTCTAGCTAGTGGCTAAGACTAGTGAAGCTAGATAAACAGTGATGGTGGTTGGACAAAGCATAGTATCAAGCCAGCTGGTAGCTAAGCCAATGTAGGTTAGCCTAAGCAGATACATTACAGATAAAAGGGCCGATTAAGCTGTCAAGTATCTGACAGGTTAATGGTTTGTTAAGAATGATGTTGAGGGCTCAGTAGATGTATGATGGCGCACTCTGATAACCTCTGCAGGGCGTGGTGATAGGTCAAAACATAATTTAGTATGAGGCTTCTAGAGGAAATGCAGCCAATAGTTCAACATGTGTGTTGTTAACAGGCTGATGAACTGACTGCTGCATTATAGTACACCATTATGTTTTTTCTGGGTGGGTTTGTACTTCAGTTGTCCTTCTGCAGCAGTTTCATTTGACAGGCACACCCCACTTACTGATGCTGAACTCCCTGAGCACGCTCACTAATCACTGCAAACACACTCCTAAGCTGCTCTTATTAAAAAACAACAAGACAGTCAGCAGTGCCTGGGCCCTTTTTTATATCACTCTTACAGTCCACACCACACTTCACATCAGCTGTATGTCATCTATGTTGTTTTTACTCATGCTCTTAAGTATCTATACAGTCAATTCAGTCTGGGATTTTTCATTTGTGTTCCTCCTATAGATCCTGGAGAGTTCCCAGTCTCTTCTCAGCGTCCTGAAGCAGGAGGCAGGAAACCTCAGTAAAGCCACAGAGCCCCGGAGGAAGGAGCACTAATGGCAATGAAAGGTCATGTGTTTTGACCACAGCAGCACACTTGACTCTGCACTTTTTATGCAGTTTATGTTCCACTCTGGACTATTTATAATATATGTGACTGAATCGTTGTAAATCCTTTATTCCAATAAATGTGTTTCTTATCACTCCCACGACTAATATATGTACTTATAGTTTCTAGAGGCAAATCCCCTATGGAGACAAGAACGTGTCTTTTCCAGGGAATTTGACATTTATTATTTAAACAGGTTTTTATCAGGATGAAAATGACACACACACACACACAGCACTGATGTTTGTTCAAGTCTTCTATTTATTGAACTTTCATTTGTACAAGTATGACATCACTTTGTTTATGTTTTTTTGCTTTTTTGTTTTTTATTTGCCCAAATTATTGACGATAACTTTACAGTAAGCACATCTGCTGTGATGTAGATTTACAGACGAGGGGAAAAGTAAAGGGGGAACATGATGGAGCTTCTACCACAGAGTCGCTACAGTGTGACCAACACAAACTGCTCATTTCGAAACAGGAGGAGACAGATGGGGAAACAGTGCAGTGAGAGAATGTGTCTCTATGTGCCGGTAAATGGCCATCAGAAAAGTTCTTGCTGGTGTCAATTAAGACGGTCAGGGAGGTTTCCCACAATTCACTCTGCCTCTTTTGTCCTTCAGCTCACAGAAAGACAGAGAGGAAAAACATTGCCACAAAGAGTCCATGTCCTCTTTGGGGTTTTGTTTGTTGAAGGCAGCAGTTACCACAGGTGGATCCACAGGTGTGTCATGTGACCACAGCTCCACAGCAGGTCCAAGTGGGTCTTTTCTATGGACCAAATTAACATTAAGAACACTAATGCATTTGGAAGTTTTAGCTCCATAACTACATATCATGTGTAATTCACATTTCTGCTGGAATATTTTACACATGCTGTACAGGTTTGTGGGGTTTTTTTCTGCTCTTTTAAGCAGCCATTAGTTTCTCTTCATTCAGTCATGGTATGAAAATGAGACTCTTGGAAACTTTATTGTAATCCATCACAGCGAACATCAAGCCTGTATTAGTCAGACAGTTACTCTACATTATGGTAATGTGGTTTTAAGTGCATATTGTTTTGAAAAGTCTGCACTGCGTTTGATAGCTGGGTATTAAACCTTAATACTGAGACTGAATTGTGTTTTTAGTGCCAAGTATAGAGCCCAGAATTCTTGCTCAGATTCCTTATCTTCTTTATCTAGTTTTGTAACAGTTTTACACTGTGAAACTTGTTTAGCTGCTTGTTTTTAGAAACGTTAAGTTTGAATTAACTTTAGCCTCCTGTTTAATGAAAAATGTATTTTGTAAGAACAGAAAATGTTTTGATTTTTCTAAAGAAAGAAGAGAGAAATTTAAATTTCTGTTTTATAGAAAATTATTTCACCCAGCCCTGCTGCATTTTGATGCAGCAGAGTGTGACCTGATGCCCACTGTGATAGTCTACACGAGTCAAGTTTCAAGCTATGCACTTAAGAGTCGAGTAGATTTTCATACCACTGAAATGAAGTGGAATCTAATGGACGCCTGGAATGGTTAAAAAATACATTCAAACTTCTAGAACACAGTATCATGGTTTGCAGATAGTACTGTAAAATATATGCATTTCAATCAGATGAATGGGCCAATAACAGTGACGATGAAGGATTTTTACAGGGATTTTTGAGGTAACGTTAGGTCAAACATGGAGCGTGGACCTGTGTGGATGTGGATTACTGTTCGTGGTCACAGCGGCAAGGCCGACAATCATAAGACTTCAGATGCAAGGCTGCAGCAAAGAGTAAAAAAATGGTCATGGCATTCATCATGTACAATTGAAGAGTTCTATTCCAAAATGCTACTCATTCAGTTTGATAAAAAAAAAAAAAAAGTTTACTCATCTATTGTGTCTGACACACAGTCAATGGTTGTGTAATAACAGGTGTCAATAGTGGCTATTGATTCGAAACCAAACTCTTCAACTACACTTCTTGCTCTTGAAGTGCACATTCCCTCTGTCGCCGACTCTGTTCCTTCATGAGGTGCAAAACAAAGCTAAAAGCATGACAGTGCAAAAGACACTCAACATCCAAGACTCCAGACGAAACAGATGATTCCTAAATTCATCGGACAAAGACAAAAGACAAAATTTTATCTCCTAACAGCAAAATCCAACCTTCATCTGATTGGAGAACTTCAAAAAAAAAAAAAAAAAGACAAGTAAGAAATAAATGTTCATATTTATGAAAATATGGTGGAAACTGTACAACAATACTGGCCGTAGAGTTGATCCTGGGAGTGTAAAGAATGAATGTGAGGCCGTTACAGCAACACTTTAATCAGTTGGCATTATGAGTTTAAAAAAAAAATCATCTGGAAACTTGGTGCATTCTTGTATATAAAAAAATCTTAATTAAAAAGTCATTACATATTCTTTCAAACACACACAAACTTGCATTCGCTCTCACAAACATGTCATATTATGAATGAATCATAATCACCGTTGCCTTCGTTACTTCAATGGACCGGCTTCTTTCTCTGTGGAATGTGAAAGTACATGAGGTCCGACTGGGAGAAAAAACAATCAAACAAACAAACAAAAAAAAAAACTCCGGTGGGGCTGTTTGGACCCGTCTGGTTCCTTCCATACCAGCAAAGGTTCCTTTACGAAAACGTTTTTTTTTTTTTTTTTTGTACATGAACAGGTCTCAGACATGCAAACTTCAACTTGAAGCAGGAATAAATACACAAGAAGCCAGAGAAAAAGGTGTCAGGAGGTCGAACAGCTTTCGGTAAACGACGTGACACAGATAACCTTGATAGAAGATATACAGAAACATTCAACAGTATGATGTTTTGTTTGTCACCAGCAATACGGACATACAGACATTATTGGCCAAGGTCACTTTTTCAAGCATTTGATCAGGGATCAGAGTTGCTACCGATTGACGGAGATCTTCCCCAAGGGTGCATATGTTTCCTCCCTTGTCACAAAGAGGGGAAGTGTGTTGAAGTTTGCTTGCCGTTAAGACTCTTCTACAGAACGTCCAGCAGCTTCAATACAGCATAGTTTGCCAGAAAACATACAAAACTAAAAAGGCATATCGAAGCTTTACAGTAAAAGAGAACCAACGGAGGTGTTGGATGAAATCAAAACATGCAGGTACAAAAACAAAGACAAAAAAAAACAAAAAAAAAACAAAACTACAATTGTGGCACCCTTTAACCATTTTTTTGTTTTTGTGTTTTTGAGTCTGCTGTCGATCTACTGTACGCAAGCGGACTGGTCCTCCAGGTTCTACATTTCTGGAGAACGTCCTAATGACATGTTTCCATGCTAACACTGAACTCTGTCACCGTGGCGATACTTACACATGGGCACTGCTGGCTTCCTGTTCTTTTAAAAAGGAGGCTGGGTCGATCGCTTTAAACTCCTTTGCTCGCCAGCATCGCCCGAAAAACCTGAAGCAAACGTTGAAGCTGAGATGTGGACTTGGAAGCAGGAGAGACACGAAGCCCTGTGGACCTCTTCCAGAGTCTGGAGAGGAAGACGAACGTCTCGCCGGATTTTCACAATCGATTTGATTCTGTCAGATATCTTGTTAAGTGAGGGTGAGTAGGGAGGGAGGCTGACAGGTCAACTGCCCAGGATCAGAGTGGGAAAGACAGTCCAGCTGCTTTTGGGTTTTGTTGCGTCAGATCAAAAAAGAAGGTGGGAATCAAACACCAGCCACCTGGCAAAAAGCTGTGCTGCTCTGATATGCAGTTGATAACGTGGCATGTAGTGGTACCGTGGCAGGAAATCAGCCTAAAAAGAAAAAAAAAAGAAAAAAAAAAAACAAACCCAACAATTTGTCCTTTCTGATCAGGAAGATGTGCTTCGGGATGGCTGGAGTGTAGACCTGGACCTCCTCTGGGCTCCGGCTGCAGTCTGGTCCCATGAGTGTGATGCTGTAAAGCTACTGTACAGCTGGTTGGTCCGACTGATCAGAAGTAAAGAGCGGGCTCGCTGCTGTAGTCAGACAGGGAGGAGCTGTCTGCCGGTGTGAGCTGAGGAGAGAAGGCACAAACATTAACATTTAAAATCCACAAACTTATTATAAAGCTGGTATCTTCTTATTATTCTGATTGTTTGGGCAATATACTCAGAGAGTCCGTCTTATAAAGTCTTTTTCGTTTCTATGAATAAATAATGTTAAAAAAACAAAACAAAATCATGTTCTATGGGTGAAATAGAATAATTTGCACTTCCTGTGGTCCTGCAGTCCTCATGTTTTTAAGGATGAATCTTTCATTTGTTTTCAGTAACATCTAAATCTTATTTTCAATGTCTTTCCACATACAAGGTGTAAGGACCCATCACCATTTATCTATTTTAAAACCTTTTAATGCTAATTTGCATGAAAGATGGGACCTATTTTATTTAGTGAAAAATATTAGAAACCACAAAAACCAATCAAAATACAACACTGGCTCTAGTTGATCAATGGATTAGTCGATTGACAATGAACTGACAACAACTGCCAATCATTCTCTGCTTCCAGCTTCTCAGATGTGAGGATTTTCTGTTTTTGTCTGTTTCATATCATTAAACTGAATATCTGCAGGTTGTGGTAAATCTAATAGATTTCTCGATAATGAGAACAATCCTGTTTTCTGATGCTGTTCAAGGTTCCTATACATCACTTATGTTTGTATAAACAGTAAGTAAACACCTATATTTTCAGTTTGGATTTATATCATATTGATCTGGTACAAAAATTACAATTGGAGGCTTTGACTATAATTGGAACCTTTCCAGGTCTCGAATTTAGAAAACAGTTTCAGACATTTTAGCGCATCGCAAAGACTTAAAGACACACTGCACATATAAGAAAAACAAAACAAAAAAAACATCCATAATGTGAGAGTAAAATGAAGAACACATTGCGAGATCCTGAAAACTCCACAGAATGATGTGAGGAAATATAAACTGGGACTTTGGTGAGAGGCAGCGGCAACTGATTCTCCACTACACTGAGTAAACAGCTTTAAACAGAGGAGTTCTCTCTCACCATAACTTCCTCTGTCATCTGTGTCTGCTGGGAAGTGGTTTCTTCCTGGTAAACACTGTCGTCATGTTTGTGCTCCTGCCAGGCGCTGAAGTCCACCGAGTGCTTGGGAATGTAGCTGGAAAGGTCTGCAGATAATAAAGAGACACAGTGTGTTATCTACATGTGAATCATTCCTCTTCTACACGGGCTGTCGCTATTTCATTTTCATCTCCTGCATTTCTAACTAATCTAATCAGATTTTCAATAGCACGCACAGGGATCAGTAGGACACTTAGGTTAGGTTAATTTACTTAGATAGGACACTTTTCTTTATTGATAAAATAACACTGAATGGTTTAAGTACATGAAAGAAAGCTGTTGAACTGAAAGTATGAGTCAACAACATATTTTCTCAAGTGTAGTTCACAGTTTGTCCAGCAGGGGTCTCGGTCACCACACTTTTCCACTGGGTTACACCTGCACCGAACAATGGCAGTGGCGCTGATATAATAAAGAAGCAGCGTAGTTCCGCAATTTCTCTCCTTCAAAATCGATCATGTCTCCCTTTTTATTATTTTCCTAATTTTCAGCACAAATTTTTCTACTGCAGCAAATACACATGACTCCTTTGCTCTCTTTAACTACCCACAGATTCTCCAGACATTCATTTTCATGACCTCTCATTCCATTCAGTCAATAGTATATATTCCTTTATGCACATTTACTGTCAGAAACCATACTGTTACACAATGAAAATCTTTCTACGCTGAGCACAGAGTGGGAAAGAGGAACCATGGCTGAACTCAGGACACATAACGACATTTAAAATTCAACAAAACAAGACACAAAATGACTACAAAATCAACTCAACGCCTCTGTGACCCGGCCTCAGCTTATATGTTCAAGGCTTCACACAGCTGGTGGTCAAAGCAAAGCTTCCATTGGTTAAACTCCATTTGATTAGAAATAAAACACAGTGGGACGATCAGTGCTCCTCTCTCAGCCCTGTTCACATCTTCCAAGAAGATATTGCCCCCATAGAAACTGTAAGATAATATAAACCCAGATGAACTGAAAGCAGCTTCGATTGCCTGGCTAATCTTTTTATTTGGTTATCAATGGTGCATCATGGGAAAGTGCTGATACATAGTGAAAAGTCAATTTTCACTTCCCTCACCAACTCTCACATGTTACTAAAAAGAAACTTCCATACTCTGCGTTTACAAAAGTGCTACATAAATACACTTTGTGAAATGATTTGTATCTATTTCCATCCAATGAGGAACGCTCATGGAGTATCCTCTGAGGGGCAGGAATGTGCATCGTAAATCTAATGACCATACTGCCAGAAAGCTTAAGCCTTTTCTGGGATACAAGTAGAAATTTTGAGCGGATTATTTTTGCTTCAAAGAGAAGTTGAGGGAGTCTCCAAAATGTCATGGTTCATCCCCTGTGGACCATGAATATTAATAGTGAAGTTAACTGGACACTGAGCCATTATTTTTAAAGAGACTTTGTTGTGGACCATCATGGTGGACAGTAGAGATTTTTAACTGTTGGCGCACAACATGAAAGGTCGGAGGGTTCCTGAAATCCTCAGAAGTCATCTGCGGACCATGAATATCTACGGGAAATTTTCTTGAGCTGTTGAGAAATAATCATCTGGTCCAAAGTGTTGGACGGAAGATGTTGACAGTTTTAGGCTAAAGTGGACGTCTGACCTGCACGTTCACCACAGAAAATGTAATTATCTGTGTGGCCCCCCCCCCCATCCGTCACACGCATCACTTTTGTGTCGTCTCACCGTTGCTGTTGGTCGTGTGCGTGGGCGAGCCGGTGAAGCTGGGTCGAGGGATGTGGATGCGTCCCACCATGCTCGGCTGTTCGTCCGCCATCTTCCCGTCTCGTTTCTCCTCCTCGTCCTCCTCCCCGCTGTCCCACGCGCTGCTCTCCGACGGATACTCGTATGTGCTCTGGAGACTCGACTCATTGAAGGAGATTTTAAGCTGGAAGAGACAAAAGAAAAAAAAAAAGATGTTTGACGTGTTTTCAAACTGCTTTGATTTGGCAATATTGTTCACTTTTTACTCTCCTGATAAAGTGTTTTTCCAAATTATTAAAAACAAAAAACAAAAAAAACAAAACAGAAACAAAACAACACAAATAGTACCAATGGGTAAATGATATAATTTGTTCCATTCATGTTGTAAATACATGGTGGCACTGATTTCCCCGGGCTCCATACTTTATTTTCACTTCACTGGCTTCAGAATAAGGATAACAACACCGGTCACCAGCCAAATGACAGTGAGTTTTGGCTGTGGTCGAGAACCTTTGGCAGGTGCCCGCTCATGACTTGGAGTGAATGTTATACTGTATATTTATAAAAAAAAAATATAGCTGGCTGGCAAATAAGGAAAAAGGAGACAATTAGCTACAGAAGTTTCCTGAAGCTGTCCTGAATTTGTTCACACGGGGCTGGCTCAAGCATTTCTGGAGTCCAATGCGGGATTTGACCCACAAAACTGTGCAAATCATGTCCTCAAATCCCCAAATTTGGTGTAGTGACCCCCAAAACCCACATGATGACAACTGAGCAGACTGATGTGCACCATGAGATGCAATCCGAAAAATCCAGAGAAAGCTACTATGTGGATCTCAAGTTAATTATTTTTTGTCAAATTTCACAATAAACCAAAAGTAGTTATTTCATTAAAACAGGATGTGGTAAAGATTAGGGGGCTCTATAATAAAAACAGAACACCCATCTTTAAATTCTTAATATACATCATTTCATTATTACGGAAGAATGAATGAAAAAGTAGGAATTCTCTGCAAGTTTGAGTTCACATTTTCTTGTAAGCAGCCATTTATGGCGTCTGTAGACCAGCTCTTTGTTTACAAGCCAGATTTGTTTACTGAGAAAACAAACCTCCTGCTGGTGACTGTTTACTTGCTGAAATAGCTGCTAAAGAGGCCAAACTTTACAGCCAGAAAGCCAAGATTTCAAAGTATCAGACATCTTCTCATTTTGAGGCCCAGATTCCAACAACAGGCTGACGTCACTCTCCTCCAAGACGACTGCGTTTTATGAGGAGGGTAAACATTAACGGGTTATTACTTCCTTATTGCTGCGTAATTGCACCTTCCATACTGATCGGCGTCACGTGTCTCGGCCCTTTGCTCACACTGCAGTAATGCCAGTTAAGCTCAACATGAATCAACTACCTCATTACTTATTCAACAGAGCTTTTAATTGGGATTCTGTTAGAGAGCCAGCTGCAGTTTGTTTAGACCTGTCAGCGGCCGCGTGCGCTGTACTTGGTGTGTCCTCTAAGTGGGACAGGTGGCAGCCTTGCAGGAGCTCGGGGGGGCCTGTGATTGATCGTTTCAGAGCGTTTGCTCTAAGACATGTCTGTTTGGCAACGCTTCAGTGGTCTGCAAACACGGATCCGTGGGGTGAGACGGGCTCTTGCACTTTGCTGCACCGTGTAATCCAACATGAAAGGCAAAGGTGCAGCCAGAGACCTCTGCGGTTTTAGCTGTCGGTGAGCACACCGACTGACAGGTATTCTCCAAGGAGACGTCTCACACCTTTAAAAGAGAAGTTACTGCTACAACAAAGTTTGTGCATGTTTTTTTTTTTTTTTGTAATTTTTTTCTATTGCTGTTAACTTTTTTAAAAAAGTCTTATTTTTCCATCAGTCTGTCTGTTTTCTATGATTTCATTTTGTAGTGCAGTCTGCAGTTCTCGTTGGTCACTAACAAACCTGAGGTTACAGTTTTAAGATGACAGAAAAACCATAAATGGTTTCTAATAACTTACTATTCGTGTGCTCTGGCCACACATAGGCGCTGCAAACCCGAAAAAAGGGATTATTTCTTCCTCCTGGGTTGCCATGGAGATGACAGCCCATACACACTCATATAACAGCAGGTTTGTCCGTGTCTTCCCCGAGGCCGTCAGCTGACTGCTCTTAACGTACTGTACCTGGCTCCATCTACTCTGTAGGCCGTGATCTAAATCTGCCCTAATCTCCATCACAAGGGGACAAGCAGGCAACACCACCTCATTCTCACACACACACACGCTCGCATGCATGCATGCACACACACACACACACACATACACATACACACAGTTCAAATTTCATGTTTATTCTACATCCTTTATGACTGCTTTATGATCCATCTCTATAGTTATGCCCAGGTCAAGTATTTTAGTTTTAAGTCCCGTTCCTGAACTTAATGAACTGACTGACATGTTGCCTGCCTTTAAATAAAATAGCAATTTCTGATGTTTAGTGTATTAAAAAGTTTATATAAACGCTTTAAAAAGTTTAAGTAGTGTGACTCCTCTTCAGAGGTGCACTATGTAATGTATTTCTATCTATCTCTCTTTATCTACGGATAAAGGACAAGGCTCCATAGACTCAGGACTATAGATTCAGGATATGGATTTATAGATTACAGATGAGGGTCTGAACATTAAAGACAAGGGTCTATAGATTTCAAATGAAAGTTGACAGATCAAAGACAGTCGACACGTTTAGAACAAAAGTCTAAAGATTAAGCATGAAGGTACTAAACATGAGGTCCATGGACCTGGGACAAGAGGTTTCTAGATTAAAACAAGGATCTTGTTTCACATATTTAGGATGAAAGTCTATAGATTGAGGATGACGGCCTATACATTCTGGACGAGGGCCTATAGATAAAAGATGACAGTCTGTAGACTCGGGACTAGGGTTTTTTAGGTTCAGAACAACTCTCTATAGACTAAGGACAAGGGTCCACAGAATACAGACAAAGGACCTAAAGATTGAAGACGAGGACCTGTAGATTCAGAACAAGAGTCTATAGATTCAGAGGGACAGTCTGTGGGACACCACCTTCAGTCAATCACAGGTGTCTCTGGTTGAACAGTTGAAGTTTGACATGTTTAACATTTCTGGAAATAAACAACTCCTCTGCTTATCTCCACTGGGTCTTCACAATGATGTTTTGATGATTTAACTGTTGCTAATATCTGATTTAGGCAATAAAAAGTGGATAAAAATAATTACATCTATCGAGATAATGATATCAGCGAGGAGCCTGGGTTGTTTCGCTCGCTCGTTGATATTCATGTCAGGTGGCAGCGTGGAGAACGACCAGGGTTCACAGATCAGGCTCTGAACCCTGTCAACTTAACAAAGAGCCTTTAGCTTCAACCAGCTACTCACTCATCTAATGTTAAGAGCTTTAATAAAGAGTCTGTTTTTGTGGGTTTTATCCACAATATCACAACGTTCAGCTACATCAAGTGTATCAAGGTTTCAATTAGGATATTAATAAAAATGACTATACTATCACGTTGTTCTGCTGATTGGAAAATTGGCAGAAAAATTCAGAAATAAAGAGTTTTTCTTTGAGAAGATTAGAAGTGCAAGTAACACCCCTGACCTTTCAATATGTACAGAACTGCAAGTAATAACAATTCTGTTTCAACCCTCAACAATCTCACTTTTCAGTCCCTGGATTTTGAATAAATCAGTATCGTTCTTTTCTACTTTTTTTCTTCCTACAACCAGGAAAAAACATTAGTATTCAGCCATAGTAACAGCACAACCCCGCGACACAAATCAAATCCTGTGTATAGATACAGGCTCTGGCGCTGTGTAACCATTTTTAAAAACGAGTCCTCTGTCCCAGACGTCGCCTATTTTTAGCCCCACGACTTCCTTTTTTAGTTCCTGTGTTAAATCTTACACCGCAAAAAGCGTTTCCTCGCTAACCTGGCATCCTGTCCTGAAGGAAGTCTCTGGATGCCAAACGCCATTTTATCAGTAAATCAAGCTTAGCTGCTGCATTCACTTCCCCTTTTACCGTCTTTCACTTTTCACGCTCTTCTCATATCAGACTCTTGTTAGATGACACTCCACTGCTACGCATTAGTTGCTGGCCTCTCTCTGACTTTACGTTTTTGCTGTTTAGCTGCAGCATTGATCCGATTTAGAGGGAAAGAAAGAAGAACAAGAGAATTGGGGGCGACAGAGCTGTGATCTTTATCTGTGGCGTACCTCTCCCTGCCTGCTGCTGCTCATGCCTGAGCCTCGGCTGTGAGTCTCTTTCATCTAGATGAGTTGAAAAGACTGCATCATGGAGGCAGAAGTGATTTGTCTTCTATCCTCAGGCTATGGGACGGGCCAACAGGGGCCCAATTCAGGCCAACAGGGGCCCGACTCAGGCCTGCTGTCCTTCTCATTCACCACAGGCTGCTCAGACACGATGCTGTGGCATTGACCAAGTAATTATTCTGGTTTTGGTTCATGTTCATCAAAGACTGACTATGTTTTGCAGTGTGTGTGTGTGTGTGTGTGTGTGTGTGTGTGTGTGTATGTGTGTGTGTGTGAAGCTGATGCTTTGCGTCATCTTGTGTTAAAATAAAACCATGGGAAAAAAAATCTCTAGCAGGCAGCTTGAAAGAAACTAGTTTTGTAGAAACAGCATCGTTTTAGCAGCTTATTCTTAAGTTATTGTTAAAACAGACGATTTAATGTAGTGATTCTATGACTGGTTTGAGTATGTCTATGTATTTTTCCACAGTTAACATACAGTATACTGTCACATAAGTAAAGGAAATCCTGTGTAATATGAGCTTTGGAAGGAGGTGATTAACAAAGTCTTGTAAATATTCAGCTGAATCAGAGGTTACTTTTTTCCCCACTTACACTCTCCAGCCCGTCGACGTGTGTGTATCACAGGTTACTTATTGAGATTGGACAAAATAACCTGCACTTTGAGAGGAAAATTAAGAGCCTATAAAGAAATCTGGAGAGTGTTTAATTATTATCCAAGATTCAGAGACGCTGAGAATCTTCTCATGCATAAAGAACTGGGTTAAGTCAACATGTTACAAAACTGTAGCTCATGTTTTTTGTATTTTAGTTTGTCTTGTTTTTAAACTCTTGCCCCATTTCTTTCTTTCCTTTTCAAATGAAATTTCTCTATTTTGTATGAAACA